GACCTCGGCGCTGGTTTCTGACACCGCGGAGATCGTGCAACCTTGAACGATCGGCGGCCTTCAGATCGCCAGATCGTTCCATCTTGGCCGATTCTGGGCTACAGGCGGCGTTCAACCTTGAACGCCCGCGGCGGGGTCGCCGCCGCGTCGACACGACAAGAAACTGCAATACGATAAGAAGTCTTGCTGTAAGATCTCCAGTGACACACCTGTCGTCGATCGTTGAGCTTCCTGCGGTGCACCAGTGCTCCCTTCGGACTGTCAGGGCCATCAAGGGTGTAAGCGATCCCCATCCATGGGGCACTTGCTGGCAGGCAGAGTTTGGCTTGACGCGCCTACTGATGTTTTTGTCCGTGGCCCTCTTCTCGCTTGCGCGCCGACAGAGGAGCAGCAACAGCAGCAGCAGCAGCAACAGCAGAAGGACGGATTCCTCCAGTCCAGGCCCCAACTGGTTCTGGAAGGGGTTGAACTTGCCGCTGAGCGTGCTGTTGTGCGTCTTGTCCCACCAGAACCCTCCGCCAAACACGAGGCATACCGAGGCGAGCAAGGTCGACGGAGTGCAGGCTGGCCCTACCATGACTGCGCGGCGCTGTCCCCGACGCCGTCCGAAGCCTGGGCCTGAACCAAACTGCCCTCGACACGCCGGAAGAGTCGCTACCCAGACCCCCCCCCTCTCGGCCCATGAAGACTCACGACGGAAAATGCTTGGCTATGTGCCGTGCAACGTGATGTGCTGTGTCGGGGGTCCATCTCGTGATTCCGTCCCCACGTGCACTACCGTGGACATGCCCAAAATCCGTGACTTGCTGCGTTGGGGCCGTGCCGTCATGTGCGGTGACCTGTGTCGTGCCGTGCGGCGCCGTGTCCTCGTACAAGCGGTTCAGGGTCTCTGGGCGGGGCGACTTTCAAGACCGTGTGGTTTGGCGGTGGTACCCATGTCGAGCGAGGTTTGTGCGACGGCGCGTCAAGACATCATGTTCAAGGTGGCAGCGCGGCCCAGCTGAGTTCTGTGCTGCCTGCCTTGCCACCTGGGGGCCAGCCGCCTCATGATATGTTACAGTAGTGCGGTGGGTAGGCAGAGCTTGCGGCTGTGCACATCGGCTCGCATAGTGGTCACGTGCCTAGGGTATCGCCCTCGTCACCCTCTGTAGCCAGACCGCAGTTCGTGCGCCACCAATGCCACCCACAAGCTGTCGCGCTATTCCGAGAGCGCCTGGATAACTGCTATACTAGATGGTCGTGCAATTTCTCCCACAACGCAGCGCTGTGCACACACTCCTGGCATTCTGGAGGCAGCAAGGCCCGGGAGACCAGGCACTAACAAGAACAAAGCTGCCAGGCTGCGCGCGGAGATAGAGAGAGAGAGAGAGAGTGGGGGAGAGAGAGAGAGAGGAGGGGGCAGGATAGGGATCATGCAAACGTGCTTCCAACTCGATGGCATTATGGTGCGCCCCTGAATCCCACGAGCCCACTGGGCGTGAGTGGTTTCTCGGAGGCGTGTAAGCATGGATTTGGCGCGCGGTCGCCAAATCCATGGATCGGGGGAGGTGCCCTCCCAAAAGTGCGGCCGGTGCCGCCTCGCTCGGCTGCGGAAATCTGCGATTTCCCACGGAAACGGGACCCGTCGCTAATCCACGTCCTCTTGATCAATGCTTGCGATCGCCTGAGTTTCAGGCGTTTCCTCTTCCAACCCCATTTTTCCCCTTGCCCCTCCCCCGACCCCCTTCCCTGGACCTGGACAGAGCGCCTCGCGACCGATTGGAGAGTCCGAGATGGCGGCGGCGAGAAGGCAAACATCAGTGATGCTACTTGGCTGTGGGCCCATTTCAGCATCCCAAGGGGGGGGGGCTGTCATTCACTACCCCCCTCTCTGACCGATCTCCTCCAAGGTGGCCCCCAAGAGTACCCCAAGATGTCCCCGAGAGGCACCCAGGAGGCCCCAAGAGGCCTCCAGTAGACCCCCTAAGAGGTCTCCCCAAGAGGCTCTTCCGAGGCACCCAAGGCGCCCTGAGGCCCCCAGGACCGCCAAGAGGCCCACACGACGCACCAAAAAGGACTCCACGACGTTTTCAAGCGACATCGAGACTCCGAGAGGCATCCACGAGGTCTCTGACCAGTCGGCTCGCCCTCCTCATGTTCCTCCTCCTCCTCCACCTCCTCCTCCGCCTGTTCATCCTTCTCTCTCCCCTCTCCCTCCCTCTCCCCCTCCTTCTCCGATTCCTCCTGCATCCTTCTCCTCTTAGGGTATGATGGCTTCCCCAGGCAGGTATTCCACTGCATGCTCCTCATTCCTGATCAGGGTAACTCGCCTGGGCATAGTTTCTGGATGAGCAGATGAGATTACGCGAAGCGGTTCTGTATTACGGACATAACAATATGTTTCCATGCTGCAGCAGGCGTACCCGTATCGGGCTGCCTTATGGATGGACTTGTAAGTGTGGAGGGAGGACCCCTGGCACTCATGCGCTCATGAGGTGGAGGCCAGTAGCCAGCGAGGGGGAGAGGGGATGACGAGAAGGAGCAGGATCAGGAGAAGAAGGGAAAATGGCCAGGACGATGAGCGCGCTTCTTGCCGCGAACGCATGAGCCAAACGGCGACTGCCTCGCCGCTTACACCTTTCCCGCTACCGCTGCCGCTACCATGGTACCTTCGAAATCCACTAACACTAACACCACACTGCGCCGCGCTACATGGGTGTTAGCTGGGAGCCTCCGTGCTGCGACGAATCGACGTCTCGCTCGGCGACGTGACCACTCTGCGTCGACGTTGAGCTCGTAGTAGACAACTCGCAGGTTCAGCAAGATGACGGGGTGTCTCGACGGCGCGCCGAGGGTCTTAGAAGTAAGAGGGGCAAGCTTTGTCAGCTGGCGGCCGGGCTGCAGAGAAGCCTCCCGGCCTCTTGAGAAGCCTCTTGTTGCTTTGGAGAAGGCGCAGAAAACTCCTCAGAATCGGGGAGACGTAAGACTCGGGTACGGGGGACTCGGGTTGGCCTGACGGGGCCACCATGAAAATGACGAGACACAATCTGAAATTTGACGCGGGCTCCCACTGCAGACATGCCACGACAACGGGACCGTCAAAATCCAGGACGCGCTCGTCAACAAAAAAGTCGGCAATCCCGAGTTCCGGCGGCTTACTCGAGTCTCACGTTTCCCCGACAGAAGGCCAGAGGCCTCCTGAGCCTTTTGAGAAGGTCCGCTCCCTCTGTCTGCACGCCTGGGCGCGCCGCCGAAGGATGTGGGCACCCGACACCTCCTCGGCTGGGCTCCTCGGCTCCCAGGCTGCCCTCCGGCCTCCAGCAGTCCGAAGCGATGCTTTGCGGCAGATTCCCGCTTCTCGCTCATGATGGCAGAGGCACTCATCACGATGAGGACCGCGCAGCCTCAACGGGGCACAAATTCATCGGTTATGCCGCCCCCCGCCCCCCGCGCTACCCCTCGCCAGTTTTGCAAAGGCAGCCGGCTGTTTCGGCAGAGGGTGGGGCAGGAGGACGCGGGACGTGGGAGGGGGAGGAGCGAGACGACGAGCGGAAGGACAAGAAGGCAGAGGAGGGCGAGGGGAATGAGCATCGTTTATCCGATCCCTATTCCCAGAGGCGTGACCTGGGCCACACTGGCCGATTTACCCCCCTAGATGGGGATATAGGCCGTTCCCTTCGGGCTTCGAAGGGCATATCCCCAACTGGGGTGCTGAGATGTTGGGGACCTGGATGGAGATGGGGATGGGGATGGGGATCGCTTACACGATACTGAGAGGAGCAGTGGCAGAATGTGCAGGAGGCCCAGGTGGAGGACCCGAGGGAGGGAGGCACCGAACGGTGGTATGCGGCCGTTCGGGGCGCTCCGGGCGCCGGGGCGCCTCCCGCGGCAGGCGGCACCTGCAAGAACCGACGAGCGCGTCCGAGGAAACCTCCCGAGCCCCGGCCCCGCCCGCCCCCGACCGCCCGACGAAGGTTCTCGGGGACCTACTGACCCGGGTCAATCCAGACCCGGGTCAGTGAGGCCTTGCAGGGTCCTGCGGGGCCCTGCAGGATCCTGCAGGATCCTCGGAGACTTGGGAATGGGCACCAGCACCAAAACAAGGGGCTGCCCCCCCCGGGGCAAGATGGTCCTAGATTTCGGTGTTGGTGGTAATCTTTCGGACACCCAGGAGACCCGAATATTACCACCATCGCCGGGATGGGGGTCATCTTCCCACGGTGGGGGTTACTCCGCCGATGTTGATATTGGTGCCAACCTCTAGGCCTCTAGGCCTCTGATCCTGCACCCGAACCCCGGTCAATGCAACCTTGGCTCTGCAGGATCATGCAGGGGAGGTCTGGGTCCAGACCTCTGCTTAGTGTGACTGTTGGCAAGAATGCGGCCTCTGGGGGAGACTCCACCCGCTCGAAGCAGGCGCCCAAAAAACAGTCAAGATCTAATTACTCCACAGGCGGGGGAGGAGGGGGGATGCGAAGGCCCGCGCCGATCGGCAAGACAATTAATAAAAAACTGTGACAATCTGGCGCTCTGACTGACCCCCCTTTGCATGGAACCCCGTCCCTTGAATTATGTTGCTCCCATCGCACTCAAAGACCACATCCCAGAAATGATTTCGAGCACCCGGAAAAGTGTCGAAAGAGTGTCGAAACACTGTCGAAACAGGGTCGGACGAGTGTCTCCCAGGGCCCGACACGTGAAAACCCTCGAGTTTGGGCACTTTTCTGGTGCTCGAAATTCTTCCTGGTAGTCAAAGCTAAAGTCGGTTGGAACATCATAACCCTGAACCCAGCCCATCCGGCAAGGACCGCCCTCCAGGCCCCAACCGCTGTGGCCCCCCCCCCGCTCGCCAGCTTGACGCCGCGCCCGCGCGCTGCCAAGCGCTTCGCCCGTCTGCCTCACCCGGCAGGGCAGGCGATGTTGGGAGTCCAGCTTTTGTGACGCCGAGCTCGCGCAGAACAAATGGCAGGAAATCACGAGCCACACTTCCCTACGTGTCAAATGTGCGAATGTATCGAACGAAAACGACGCAGCGAATTGCAGGAACGCGCGAACCACGATGTCCTACACTTGGTTCGGCCACGAGGCATTCCCACCTACGATGCCGAAGCCTACAGCGCCGTTGCCTGCATCGCCGTTAGCGCGTCTACGGAGTCAGCACCGAACCGATCGAGGCCGAGACGCAGCTGCCCCGACACGCAGCACGCAGCACGCAGCGTATCGACACGGAGCTCAACGCGCAGACTGGAAGCGTACGCCTGGCGCGGCACGTTCGCCAAACGGTGGGCCAGCACGTGCCGAGCCAACGCGCAGCGTGCCCGCACGGACGTGCTGAACACGGCACGTGCTGCGTTTCGGGACGGGCGTACCGGGGCAGCGAAGTCCGTGGGGGACCGAGCTTCGGGGCCTCGGCGACTTTCTTCGGGCGCGGTGAGCGTGGACAGACGTGGCTCCCCCAAGGCCCGAACATATCAGCACCCGCCGCCCGCCGAGGTCCCCGAAGTTAGACTCCGCAGGCGGCGGTCATGGATCATTTCCCCTCTCGGAGAGGTGGGCCGCATCTGCACGGAGTTGGAGCCGAATCGGTTCGGCCGCGCCTGCACCATGCGGACATCGGGCCGCATCGGACCGTCGAAACCAAGTCGGTTCGAACCGGCCGAAATCGATCTCAGATCAAACTGGCCGGATCGAAGCGGACCCTGCCCGTGAGATCGAGGGCAGAAGAACCGCCCTCAGGAGAAGCACCCTGCAGGATGAGCGAGGCCCTCTTAGCAGTCGTGCCGGGGAAAGGAATCGAGCAGGGCAGCACTGTGCAGTGACTGCCCACCGCTGTTTAGGAGGAGGGCGGAAGGAGGATGGAGGAGGGAGGAGGAGGAGTAGGAGGAGGAGGGAGAAGGAGGAGGAGGAGGACTGGAGGGGTCGGAGTGGTTTGACCTCCCTTGACGTTCGGGTCCGCTCGCCCCGCGCGCCTCTCTCCGCGAGGCCGCGGGTCAGGCTCTCACCAGGGCCCCGCAAGCGGGGACTTCGATGAACCCGGATGCCCGCGCGCCCGAGAAAACGGCAGCCTGTGCTGAGCCAGGCTTTTCATCCCGAGCAATTTTCTCATTGCTCCGAGGCCCAAAATTGGCATCCAAAGGCCAACCGTGGCAACGGACCGGCCGCTATGATCGCGGCATCCTGGTCTAAGAAGTCTGGGCTTGCAAGGCCCTGCCCTCGCCGCTCCGCCCCGCCGCCGGAGAGCAAGCAACCCCAGCGCCTTGCCACGCTCCAAAGGGATACGCAAAAACGCGTGCGATGCCCAACATAACATCGTGTTGGCCAAAACCGAAAGCGTCCGCTGCTGGGCAGGCGACTTCTTGTCTCAATTGGAAAACGTCCTCGGCGACACCGACACCTAGTTCTGTTCAACTGGGCAAGAGATGCTGACGGTCGTCAGTCTCCGTTTTTGTCCGAACTCATTTGGCCGAACCCATAAACCCGCCTAAGACTAGTAGTATTACTAGTAGTAGTGATAGTAGTAGAAGTAGTAGTAGTAGTAGTAGTAGTAGTAGTAGTAGTAGTAGTAGTAGTAGTAGAAGTAGTAGTAGTAGTAGTAGTAGTAGTAGTAGTAGTAGTAGTAGTAGTAGTAGTAGTAGTAGTAGTCGTAATAGTAGTAGTAGTAGTAGTAGTAGTAGTAGTAGTAGTAGTAGTAGTAGTAGTAGTCGTAGTAGTAGTAGTAGTAGTAGTAGTAGTCGTAGTAGTAGTAGTAGTAGTAGTTAGTAGTAGTAGTAGTAGTAGTAGTAGTAGTAGTAGTAGTAGTAGTAGTAGTAGTAGTACTAGTACTAGTACTAGTACAAGTACTATTTGGAGTAGTAGTAGTAGTAGTAGTAGTAGTAGTAGTAGTAGTAGTAGTAGTAGTAGTAGTAGTAGTAGTAGTAGTAGTAGTCGTAGTCGCCGTAATATTCGAGGTAGTAATTGTGGTATCAGTAATAGCAATAGTAGTAGTAGTAGTAGTAGTAGTAGTAGTAGTAGTAGTAGTAGTAGTAGTAGTAGTAGTAGTAGTAGTAGTAGTAGAAGAAAGTAGTAGTAGTAGTAGTAGCAGTAGTAGTAGTAGTAGTAGTAGTGGTAGTGGTAGTGGTAGTGGTGGTGGTAGTACTACTATGAGGTGTAGTCGTAATAACATTTGTAGTTGTGATAGTAGTAGTAGAAGTAGCAGTAGCAGTAGCAGTACTAAACGTAAACGTAGCAGTAGTAGTAGTAGTAGTAGTAGTAGTAGTAGTGGTAGTAGTAGAAGTAGTAGTAGTAGTAGTAGTAGTAGTAGTAGTAGTAGTGGTAGTAGTAGTAGTAGTAGTAGTAGTAGTAATAAGAGAAGGAATGCTCGGAGCTGTACGAGTCGTAGTGATAGTAATCAGAAGGTAAAACAATGAGCCGTAGCCGTAGTCGCGTCGCAATAGTATTGGCAGTAGTAACAGTTGTAATCGTAGTAGCAGTAGTAGTAGTGGTAGTAGTGGTAGTAGTAGTAGTAGTAGTAGTAGTAGTAGT